GCAAACTGTCCCTACCCAGTTGCACACAGAGTAAGTATATTCCTAATTCTTCTTTCCACATCTGAAGATTCCTGTCGGGAGTGTGACATTACTTTCCTCCTCTTGCTAGATACAAATAAATTCCATCTGGGAGGTGTACCAGGATCGTACATTGCATAACATGGCCATATTTCTTGAAGTTTGCTTTGGGAAGAGAGTTATCTTCCTTTGGATTGTTTCCTCTTGATTTTATTGTCCTGCCAGCATGCTGCCGCTAACAGTTGCCTTTGCAGAAAACAATTAGCACTAGAGCAAAGGGTATTATGTGTTGCAATACAGAACAAAATTAAAGCATGCCTTGGTATAGAAGTTAAGCTTCTGACTTTTGCAAAGATTAAATGTCTTTTGAGTTGTCTTGACCTCCTTGCTTGCTGAGAACAATAATGTTTTGGTTTTGAATTTAGAACCGATGAACACATTTTTATCAGCTGCAGCCAATTCAGTATTTTCATACAGTTGTTCAGTTTTGCTGATGATTTTCCCACTGATTTTGGTTAGTAGAAGACTATGTTGTATCAGCAGGGCCCGTATGAGCATTGTGTAAACCCCACAGTTTCATGACTGAGTGCAAAAAGGGTTGTGTTTGTATGGCTCTTACATTGTGTTTCTTCAGACTGAAAGCATTTTATTTGTAAATCTCTACCATGTAAATACAATTAAAGCACAATCACAATTTTGTTTTAAATGTTTTTATTTTGAAAAATACAATGTGCAGTGTGTAATGTCAACTAACTGTAATACCGACACTGTCTATCAGAACTTGTACTTCACACAATGATCAGCTAGTCATGCAATAAAATATGTACCTGTTATGAAGCGCTCCCACCTCAACTGTTTTACCATTCTCTCTTTATGGCATGGCACAAATCCTTCTACATTGAAACACCCTCTACGTTCGCAGTCTTTCTACACACTTGACAGCACACACTGGTCACATAGCTCAAGAACACTGAAGTGAGACCGCAGCCTTACTGAAATTGAATGGTGTTTGCCATAGATTTCAGTGGGCTGAGGGTTTCACCCTGAATATCCATCTATGAATGTATTGTGCGTGGCCATTGTAACCCTTGAACTATATCACTTGCTTGTAACTGAAATATTTAGTGGAAAGAAAAAAAAAAAAAGTGTGTTATGTCAATAACACCCAAATGGTTTTGCATCTCAGGTTTTGCATTAGTTTTGGTTAGCTGTAGAAATCTTAAACACCAACACCGCTACTAGGGATTTTGAAGTTGTTTTCCCTCCAGGTTTGGAGAGCGTGAAGAAAATGGTTAAGTAATGTTAACAGTACAGCGAAACACAGAGTGGCAAAGCTAGTTCCAAACATCCGTGTATTTCAGACTATATATTGCAAGCACGGCTTTCCTCCCCTCTCCCCACCTCTTATTTTGAGCTTTAAATATCCTTCCCGCAATCAGGGCAAAGGATGTCATCCCTTTCTGTGAGGAAGCCGCGGCCCACTAGTGAGAGAGAGCACTTCTTACAGTTAAAGCAATCATTATGCCACTGCCGTTCTTCAAAGGAGATGTACTTGGTTCCTCCGAGTCCTGTTTGAAAACCAAAAGCATTCTGTTACAAGAAAGGAATAGCACATCAGCCATCGAGCGATGCTATGTCAGACTACCCTCATGGATTGCTGCGGAGATCCGACGTACAGCAGTGAAAAAAAATGCCATTGTGACAAATCTGTTTGTTGCTGTGCTAATTTTGCCACCCTTATTCTGTAGCAAGTAATATTTTCATCCCCAAATAGTTCTGTTGCTTTCAGCTAAGTTAGCGAACTAGGCTGTTAGCTGGTGACGGATGATGGCAGAAATGAACTTTCAAGGGATGGCACTATGATATACAGCAGAAGAAAAGGGAAGCAACTGCCCCTGAACAGAAGTCTGATGATAGTTTTTTACAGAATGTTTTATGACATCCGAGTAAATTAATTTTGTTTTGTAAAAATGCATTTTGATTCATAGCTTTGAAAGAGGGGTGCCTCAAGAAAAGAAGCAGGTCAGCAAACTGCAAAAAAAGCATTCAAGAGTGTGAGGCTATGGAGGCTATCATACGGGGTATTGAAGTTGTACAGGAAAAAAAGAGAAAAGGGACAAATGTCTCTTAATACTAATTCTCTCTTGCTTAACCTCAGAAATGACAAGCAATTTGAATATGATGCATTGGAATGACTAGCTGGAAGTCAGTGAAAAGATTTACTTGGGCATATCTCTTACCTGATGAGAGGGGGTTTGGTTTTGTTTTGCCTTTAGTAGCAACATTTTGAAAAAACAGCATATGATAGAAAAGACTGTGATATTCAAAAGACAAATTCCTCTTTCACACGAACAGAAAACAGTACCAGTGGTGTTATGCACCGACTTTTCTAGGAGCTATGCAATCGAGTAGATGTTAGTGAGGGACAGGCGCAAGGGCAGAGCAATGACAAGAGAGAAGATGGTCCAGATATAACTCAGATTTGCAGTCTTGGACTGTATGGATCATGCTGTTAAATGCTGATTACGCCAAGGAGGAGGTTATATTTTTATGCTAAGTGTTTCATAGTAAAGCTGTGAGCAGTTGCTCCTTTAAGTACTTTTGTACTGGAAAGCAGTATCTAAAAGCCTTGTGATTTCTCAGTTGCTGTCCTGAAAAGTCAGGGAAGAAATGTGCTGTGCTACAACAGGAGTAAGCCAGTTAGACACTTTCTGCTGGCGGAGGGACTGTTGTTGCTGAGGTCAGGGATCCCTCTAATGAACGCAGGTGGGATGAAGTACAGAACATGCATGTCCCACTACACGCGTAGCTCTGTTACTGTGTGTCCACCATGTTCCGTGAAAACTGGGTGAAAAGGAGGAAACTTCAATTTAAGGACCTCTTCCATTCTTTTTGTTAGGCACTCGAAAGGCATCATAAGTATTTAATTTCATGTGTCTTGAATTGTATAGTGTCTTGAGTCTCTCAAGTTATTCAGAATGAATTATCAAACCATTTTTAATATTAGAAGCAGTTCCTTGAAAAAAAAAAAAAAAAAAAGAAACCAACATTTAAAGGCGCTGGCGATAAGAGACCTACCACTGATGGGGTTTGTGCATCCAGCAC